AATCAACATCATAAAATTTGTAATTAATAAAGTAGGCTTTCAACAGCGGGCGCCACTATTGAAAGTCAAAAATTTTATTTTATTTTAAATTTTTAAAATTTTTTGACATCAGATTAAACTACACCCAATGTTAAAAGTTTTTTCTGCAGCAGTTACATTTTAAACCGATATTGAAATTCCTACAATGATTGCAAATATTACAAAAATACCATTGCTTCTACTTTTAACAGCGACTGCCTTTTAACCAACATTAAAAATTTCATGTAAAAGATAAATTCTGCACTAGTGACTTTTCTCATACTAACACCAAACATCTACATGTCAAATTTTTCATGAGTGATTCCATTTAGTAGCTTCCAATCAAAATGATACAGAAAATTTAACTTTGGTTCAATGTTAGGTATGGCTAAGTTAATTCTAGGACAAATTCTCCTTAGAGCACTAAATACTATATAATTAAAGTTTGCTCCTTTAAAATCAATTAGATATTATCCAAAAATCTCTCTAACTTGAAGGTACTATTAGCATCATCCCATTAGGATCTCTTAGTATTGCCCATCCATTAACAATATAACTTTAGCCTTTTCAAGCATCTCTCGTATCCATTGATCACATTTCTATCAGTGTTTTTTTGTAGAAGTAGCGACACCCTAGGTGGGTGAAGCTTTAATAAGTAATGGTAAATAAATTATAAAAACTTTTTTTTTAAAAGGGATTCAAACCTTGATTCATTATAGTACTTTTATGACATTTTAATAATTTGAGGCCTTCAATTATCATTAATACCTTCACAAGGTGTATAATTATCACTATCTTTTTCCCTTAAAAGTAATGTTCTAGAATAATCATGACCGTGATAATTTGAAACCAATCAACTCAATTAATTCAAGTAGTGACTCAGCAATTGAATGTTTGATTTCAATCCAATTTAAAAAATTATATATACTTCTCTGATTTTATTTATAAATCATTTTTAACATGCATGTTTTATTAAAATTAAAAAAATATTAAAACTAATTAATTTTGCCAAAAAGTTTAAGAAGTTATCAATTTTATCTCTATTAAATATATATATTTTAACAATATATTTTCTCTCTTCATTTCATGAGATAAAAGGAGAAATTTGTTATCAAAATTTAATAATATGATTTATATATAGGAACAAAATTTTCTCTAATTTATCCTATAAATTGGACTAGAATGACTGAAATGAGTATATAAGGAGAAATCTTTTGAGAAAATCTCGGGTTATTTATTTACTTATTTTAAACCAATTATTACGTGGAACAGCTTTATTTGACTAATAATATCTAGTAAATCCTTGAAAAAAGCCACAAACAAATTAACTTGCATGGAGTCAAATTCCAAACAACGTAGTCAAGACGCGACTCCTTAATTAGACTGGCAGAAAAACACGCGCCTACAATTTTCTTTCTTTCTTTGTTTTTTTTTCAAAATAGACGGACGTTGGTGGAAAAAAGTGAGCAATACATGTTGACAAAATCTATTATTATATTTATAAGTCATTTTTAAATATTTTATTAATATTTAAAAAATTTAAATTTATTAACTTTATCTAAAAAATTTAATTTTTTAACTTTATTTCTATTAAATATATATATTTTAATATATAATATATTTTCTCTCATTAATATTTAATAAAAAATAAAAAAATTATAATAATATAATTTATAAATGAAATTAAAAAAGTAATTCTTTCCTCGCTTTATGAATAAGATTGTAGGAAATATATCTTTATAAAACTGGGTGCTCGCGTGCAATAGGTGTGTGAGATAGGATATGTAGTTACTTTAATAACAGAAAAGGATTCAAATGAATCGAAAATAAGTTTGACAATGATGAATTTTTTTTAATAAATAAATCACTCAATCATTTCTTAGATACTCTCTTTATTTAAAAATAGTATTTTAGATGTTAAACAATATAAGATATTTTTAATTTTTATTATTTCAAGACGTAATTAATATAATGTATTTTATTTTTAACGTGCTCTTAATAAATAAATTAATTTATATTTATTTTAAAGTGAACTAACCTATTAAATTGAGGTAAATATAAAAAGATGATATTAGTTTAAAAATAATTAATTACTTTACAAATGAGTGTGATTTGATTGAAAATATTTTATATTTTTGAACGGAAAGAGTGCTCTTTTAAATAAGAACAAACATGAAAAAATGATTAATTGAAAGATAATCAACAAATAATTTATTGAAGGTATAATTTAATTAAAAATATTTTATATTTTTTAATAAAAAGAGTCAGGGAGTATCTGTTAGAAACAATATACAAATACTCTGAATACCAGAAAACCCATTTATTGCATTTCCCAAGTGCATTCATTCAAATGGGGCACAAGGTATTTCCAGAAGACTCCACAAAATCATGTAAAATGACCGATATTTAGCATCAAAGTTTTCTTTTAAGACATGACTAACAGGTATACTCTCTCCATTAAAAAATAAAGTATTTTTTTAAGAATTGTACTTATTAATAAAATAGTTACTTCTCTTTAAATTAATATTATCTTTCTATATTTATCTCTATTTAATAGAATATTTTACTCTAAAATAAATATAAAGTGATTTATTAATCATGATACTTTAAATAAAACAATGATTATACTTTAAAACATAAAAAATATTTTATATTTTTTAAAATTAAACCTTTCAAAAAATGCTTTATAATTTTGCACAGATGGAGTATATATGATGAGAAAGAGTACTTGGAATTAAAATTTTAAATTGTATTTAATTTAATTTATTAATATTAATTTATAAAAAAACTGCTTATAAAATGAGGTGGATGCAGTATTATGCTAGTCTGCTCCGTGCCATTTTTTTTTTATCTATAAGTTATTTTACAGTAAATTGATATTAATAGCGTGAGAAAATTAAAGATATAAGAAATGTATGTCTGGTCAAACTTATTGAACAAAGTGATCCCATGTTCAAAAATAAACAGGTAATTATATAATATTATAAATTAAAGAAAAAATTAATCTATAAGTCCTTATAGTTCTATTCAATTTTAAATTAGGTCACTACAATTTATTTTATTTTAATCAAACTCTTATAGTTTGATCTATTATACAAGTTAACCTTAAAAGTTAAAATTGATAATGAATTATTAAATTTCACAATATAAAAATACTATTGGAGCTTATAAAAAATTTAATTTATTACTTTTAGCTAAAATAAAAAGTTGATTTAATACACTATTTATATTTTTATTGGTTTTTTAATGAAAATTTTATATGTGTAAAAAAATATTTAGAAGACAACCTAACTATATAAATTTTGAGTTATAAAAATTATGTAATTAATTCTAAATTTATATAATCATTTAATAAAAATATAAAAGTTAATTTTTTAAAGAAAAAATCTAAGAATTTTAATATTGAGGGATTAAAAAATTGAATTAATAAAATTATAAGAGATTAATTAAAATAAAATAAATTATAGGGATCTAATTTAAAATTAAATCAAATTATAAGGGTGTGCAGATATATTTGTTCTAACTTTAATGACCTAGAAAAATCAATGTCTCCATCAGTTGTCATTAAATATGAATAGTTTAACACTACAAGTCAATAGAGTATACCACTTTTAGGATACCAAATGCTCTAAGTAAAGAAAAGAAAAGAGTACACCATTCCTGGAATTAATTAATTAATTATATGGTAACTGCGGAACTCCCTGGTCTCAAGTGCTCAATGTACTATATAAAAAAACACAACTCAAGGCCAAAAACCTCACAGCAAATTAAACTTACCATCTCAGCAATCATTTTCTGATCATGGAGATTCAGAGCCCTTTTGCTATCCTCTTCACCTTCTTGTGCTTCATCCTTGCGATCAACAAGCTTTCAGATTCCAGAAAACGCAGTCAAAACTTACCTCCCGGGCCACCCAGATTACCTCTCATAGGAAACCTTCATCAACTTGCAGGCTCCATTCCTACTCGATCTCTGAGAGACCTTGCTAACAAGTATGGACCCTTGATGCACCTTCAACTTGGTCAGCTTCCACACATCATCGTGTCTTCTCCAGAAATGGCCAAAGAGGTTATGAAGACGCATGACCAAATCTTCGCCAATAGACCCAAAATCCTTGCCACAGATATCTTTGCCTACGGTAGCTCCGATATTGTCTTTTCCTCCTACGGAAACTATTGGAGGCAGCTCCGAAAGATTTGCACTCTGGAGCTTTTTTCTGCCAAGAGGGTCCAGACTTTCAAAGCTATAAGGGAAGAGGAGGTTTCAGCACTGATGAAGGACATTGATGAGTATGAAGGTTCTGTCATGAACCTCAGTAAGAAAATCTTCCCTCTCACGAATTCCATAGTCGCAAGAGCAGCGTTTGGTAAAAAGACCAAGAACGTTGAAGCCATCCTGCCTACCATTGAGCATGCGATTCGGCTGACCACGGGCTTAAATGTTATTGATTTCTATCCTTCTCTCGGATTCCTCAGCGTGATCACTGGGATCAAATCTACAATGATAAGGATCCATCACGAGATTGATAGGATCTTAGGAAGCATCATGACCGATCACAAAGAAAAGAAGACTAACGGTACTGGTGAGACTGAAGATCTGGTTGATGTTCTTCTCAGGATTCAGAATGACGATGACCTCGAGATTCCCTTATCTTCTGACAACATTAAAGCTGTTATTCTGGTTAGTAATGTTGCATAATCATTATCTTTTGATACACATAAAGAGACAATTGAATCATGCCTTTTAAATCCTTTTCAGGATGTTTTCGTGGGTGGAACTGAAACAGCAGCAACGACGACAGAGTGGACTATGACACAACTACTTAGAAACCCTGTGGCAATGAAGAAGGCACAAGAAGAGGTACAATCATGCATAAAGTTGTGTTGATTGATGTAATATTAATTTAGAATTTCTTTTGTTGTGTACACAGGTTAGAAGAGTTTATGGAAGCAAGGGATACGTAGATGAATCAGAACTTTCCAATTGAAATATGTTGCTGCTGCCATCAAAGAAACCTTGAGGATGCATCCTCCGGTACCATTATTGGTTCCAAGGGAGAATAGTGAGGGATGTGAAATTAATGGATATGAGATACCTGCAAAAACTAAGATTATCATTAATGCTTGGGCAATTGGAAGAGATCCCAAATACTGGAATGAACCAGAAAAATTTGTTCCGGAGAGATTCCTTGATACCAAAGTTGATTACAATCTCAAAGATTCAAACTTTAAGTTTATCCCATTTGGTGCGGGAAGAAGAATATGCCCTGGAATTACATTTGCTACACCTGTCCTTGAATTACTTATTTCCAATTTGCTTTATCATTTTGATTGGAAACTTTCAAATGGAATGAAGCCTAAAGAATTGGATGTGGAAGAGTCTTTTGGTGCTACAATGAGAAGGAAAAATGACCTATATGTTGTTCCTTTTAAGTATAGCCCTTAATTAGTAATTTCAATTACCTGAATAAATGATTGTATCTCTGTCATGGTTATATGGGGTTTACAAATAATATAGTTATTTTTTAATTTCAATTTGAGGATGATGGTGTTTTTGTAATTTAAAAGAAAAATCCACAGTCCTCCCCTTCCTGATAGTCACTAAACAAAGCCATGGGATGATCTGAAACGAAACGAGGTGTTCTTGAGAGAGTATTCTTCGCAGTAATCTCCACCATCGCTGTCCCTCCTATGTTCAACGCTCATAGCGCTGGCTTAGCCGACATCAACTCGGTAATGTGGCTCTCTTCATTCTCGCTATCGTCGTCGGACTCATCAGCTGCAACATCATCAAACAAATGGTCTCCATCTCACATCGATCGGATGCGTGGGGGCTTCTCTGTGTTTCTTCCTGTTTTACAAGGCCTGTGATGTGGGGTATCCGAACGGAGAATACAAAGCATCGTATGCTAATGTGTACAGAAACATGGCGATTCTGGGCGTTGAGGGCTGCTTCCCGTTCGCCGTGGTGGCGAACTTGGTGAGGGATATCAGCCGCAGGAGCAGCGGCAGCAATTTTCATTTTTTAAAAATTTAATAATTTTAAAAATAATTTAATATTAAAAAGTTAAAAATTTAAGTTTAGAAAAATAATTAAAATGAATTTAATATTTATTTTAAAAAATAGGGTCCAAAATATGAAAGAGGGGGGATGCACACTTTAAAATTCCATATCTATATTATATATAATTTTTCTCACTACGTAAGCTGTGGGGGGGGGGGGGGGGGGTCCCTCTTTTGATGGTGGTGGTGGACCGGTGATGCCTTTACGGTGAAGAGGAGAAAAGGAGGGAGTGGTAGCCTCGTAGGTTTTGGAATATTGTGAAGAGTAAAAAATAACAATGTTCGTAAAGTGATCAGTCACGAATAGTAAGGAAAATGGCTTGAATATTTATAATATTAGTGGGTGCATGAATGATGAAATTATTAACTTTGCTTTCACGCCTTTAGTTATTGGTATTAAATGTTAGTTTTATATGTCACATGTTACTTTTTATTGACGTAAATTAAAAAAAAGATAAAAATATTTATGAAATCATAAGCTATTCAGTAGCCTAAAATAAGAAAAAGAGTAAAAATATTCATAACGTTATCAAATTTAATGTAAAAGTGATCGACTCATCAATTTTCTTAAAAGTTAACATCTAAGTAGAAGTTTATAATTTTTTTGCTGAAATGGACAAAAAAAATTTTCAAGTAAAATTCTATAAAGATTAATCGATCATCATATGAATATCATGTGAAAAAATATTATTTTGACCGAACATCAAATTCAATCGCCCACTTCTTTACAATAGTGGCAAAAACTATTTGAAAATTTTGAACCTATTATAAAAAAAATTACTTAAAGTTATGATAATGTTCTTAAGGTAGGGTGGCGTAGGAGGTATGCTTAGTTTCGATCTTCAATTGTGTACAACCTATCTCACTGTGTTGAATATCATATTTTATAGATAAGAAAAATGAGTGGAGAGGAAAGGAGGAAGGGGTAGTATACATGGCAATGGAAAAAAAACCACGTGACATGGATTTTGACAAATGATCAATATAGAACCTACAAAAAAAAAAACATTATGAATACTTATATGATGATCGATTAACCTTTATAGAAATTCACTTAAAAAAATTTTTTGTCTACATTAATAAAAAAATAATCAACTTTTGCTTATATATCAACTAAACGGTTAACATTTAAAGGATTTGATAAATTGATCATTTTTGCACAACTTTAGTAATGTTACAGGTATTTTTATCTTTTTTTCTCACTTTAAGTTACTGGATACTTCTGGCTAATGATTTCATGGGTATTTTTGCCTCTTTTTATTCCACGTTAGCAAAGACTGATATGTGACATGTACAGTTAGCATTTAACACTGAAAACTAATGATATTAGAGTAAAATTAATGGTTTGGTCACTTTTACATTCACTTATGTAACGTTATGGATATTTATGTCCTTTTTCACACTTTAAGTTATTGAGTGTCCTTAACTGATTATTCTATGAGTATTTTTGCTCCTTTGCCCAATTGTTAAAGGAAGAAAAGGACAATGAATGGTTGAGAGGAGTGTTTTAGTAAATTTCTTTTTAAATTGCAAAAAAGACCATGATCATTAAATTTAATTTTAAAATTTCAGGGTCCTCAATTGTTATTACTAATACTTTCAGTGTCCTTAATTATGATTTTTTCCATTATGTTAGATAATATCACTTTTTGTAACAAATTTAATTAAACTTGTAAGGATTCATATGAACTTTCAGCAGCTCGCGCGATTAGCATAGTCAGCTAGTGAAAAAATAAAAATCATTCGTTTTTTACAAAGAAAAAATAAAAATCATTAGTTTGAGATTTGTTTGGCTGGAAAACAGGGAAATATTGATGTTTTCTGAAATTAGCCAAACAGATATGCACTCGCCTCATTTTTACTTGAAGAAAAAGACAATACAGGCATCATTCACTTGGCTTTCTCATCTAACTCTAAATAAACGATATTATATTTATTAATTTATTTCTTACCATCACTTAATATAAGTTTCACATACAACCAGAAGTAAACGAAAAGGGCAAAATAAGTCGCTGAGTACCTTCATTCAGAGTCAAAGGATTAAAAATACCAAGAGGCGACATGTCACAGAGGCCTTTTTGGCCTTTTATAGAACTAGGATTGATAAACAACTGGTACTAGCCAGAGGTTCTCTGCTCTCCTTACACTAACACCAAACATCTCTGACATGTCAAACTCTTCATGAGTGATTTCATTTGGTAGCTTCCAGTCAAAATGATACAGCAAATTGGCCAGTGGAAGCTCAATGTTAGGCATAGCTAAGTTAATTCCAGGACACATTCTCCTTCCAGCACCAAATGGTATATAGTCAAAATTCATTCCTCTAAAATCGATTGGATTATCCAAAAACCTCTCTGGCTTGAAGGTATCAGCATCATCCCAAAACTTAGGATCTCTCATTATTGCCCAACCGTTGACAATGATTTTAGTCTTTTTAGGTATCTCATATCCATTGATCACACACACCTGTGTGTTTTCCCGTGGAAGTAGCAGCACCCCTGGTGGGTGAAGCCTTAAGGTTTCTTTCACAATTGAGTTTAGGTATTTCAATTGATGAATCTCACTTTCATCCACATACCCTTTTTCTTTGTAAATCTTTCTGACCTCAGCTTGAGCCTCCTCCATTACCTTTGGGTTCTTCATTAATTCTGCCATGGCCCACTCTAGAGTAGTTGATGATGTCTCAGATCCAGCAATGAACATGTCCTGAAAACATATGATGGGATAGCATTAGTTTACCTTGTGAATTAGGACGTTGGATGCTCATCAATATGAATGAATTTCTTAATTGAGATGCTACTCATACCAGAAGGACGACTTTGACGTGGTCATGAGTCAAGGGAAGTTCTAGATCTTTCCCCTGCTGAATCTTTAGAAGAACATGCAGCAGATTCTCTTCGTTACTTTCATTGTTTCTGGCTTTTCTTTCTTTGTGATCCCTGATGATGTTTTCGATGATTTCATCATTCAATCTATGGATCCTTTCAAGTTTAGCTTTCATACCTGTAATCACTTGAAGCGCTTTGATAGAAGGAAACAGATCCACAACTGAGAAACCTCCTATCAACTTCATGGTATCCTTTAGACTATCTATGAAAGCTTCTTGATCTCTTGACTTCTTGCCAAAGGCTGCTCTTGAGATTATGGAATTCGTGGTTGCAAAAACTTTCTCACTCAGATTTATGAGTGACCCTTCATTAGAGCAAATATCTTTGATGAGGGCAGATACTTCCTCTTCCCTTATGTATCTAAAGGACCTAACACGCTTCGGCGTCAAAAGTTCCAAAGTACATATTTTACGAAGCTGCCTCCAATGGTTTCCGTATGGAGAAAAGCCAATACCTATGTTATTGTAAGAGATGATCTTGGCTGCAAAAACATCAGGTCTGTTGGAGAAGACTAGGTCATGTGTTGTGAAGATCTGTTTGGCAATTTCTGAGGAAGAGACAATGACACTGGATGTCTGTCCAAGCTGAAGGTGCATCAAGGGTCCGTACTTGTTTGCCAAATTTCTAAAGGAGTGATGAGGTAGTGACCCTACAATTTGATGGATGTTCCCTATAAGAGGTAACTTCCATGGCCCTGGAGGTAAGGTTAGCCCTTTGTTGGATTTCCTGGGATTTGATAGCTTGTATATCAGAAGGAGGAAGCACGAAAAGGTGAAGAAGAAGATGTGAATCTCCATATGGTTGCTAAAAGTGAAGCATCCAATCAATGCCGCATGACATACATGTGTCAAAAAATTAGAAGTCACTCATCATTATATTACCTCATGGGACACGAACTATAATTGAGCATTCTAGAACCAGATCATCGCACTGGTTGTTCTTCTCAGGCGTCAGAACTGGTTCCACCAGTTGAATATTTTCATCAAGAAGAACAAGGCAAGAGCTTCAACAGGGATTGATGAAGAGAGCCAGAAAGTACTGGAAGAGCAAGAAAATTGAAAGAAAAAGAAGAGGAGGAAGAGATTTTCGGCGATAAGTTCTGGAAACCTGAAAAAAGTGGAAAGATGTGAAGGAATTGAAGAAAGTGCGTAACTTTGCGTAGTCAAACTTGCTTTAATGATGCCGGCAAATATCAGTTGATGGGCATGTGAGTGGTTTACATAATTGATTTCATCATATTAAATTATTAATTAACGGATAAAGCCTCTGGTAATAGCGTAATACCAAGTTCATCATTTAAAGCTAAAATGCTTGACACGTGAGATATTTTCTTAATTACTATTCCGTCCCGTTTCACGTCTAGGATATTTTTTTTTAATGAGTTATTATTGGTAGTGTTTTGTATTTTAAGGAAATATCTTTTAATTTTTTTTCATGTGTTAATGTGTTAATTTTTTTTTTAAATCACTCCTAACCTAATTCTTTCTCACAGGGTAGGATAACCCACTCACACACATCGTTACACAAAGTCGTACACTCTCCCTATGCCACTTGGGTTTGATCTCATATGGGATGCCATGTGGGCTCCAAGGCCCAAAAGCAAACCATGCGTTGGTTAACGAAAGCTGTGCAATTATATGTATAAAAAATTGTGAGCACTATTAATTGTGAATAAGGATAAAAATGAAAAAGTAAGTCACTTTTAAATCAGATTAAAAAAATAGAATTTACTTAATTCACGTCATTCATGTCTGTACCCGAGGTATCGTGTGAGAGGCATCTGGCATATCTAATAACTGTAAATAATTACTTCATTGATATAATATATTTTTAATTAAAACATTATTATTTTCATAATAATGTCCAAATCAAACTGATTTTAAAAAGTTTAAATATAATTTTTAAATTTTATAAAACTTATTTATACATAAATATATTTTACAAGAATGTATACTTGATTTTTTTTTTAATCTGTGTACAAGAATCTTGGGAGATTACAATATAAGGCTTTGACGAGTGGTAACTATTTTACAGTTTTAAAAAATTTAGTTGAAACCTTTGTCTTTTAAAAAAAAAAATTATATTTTTTTAACTATACCTTCATTAAAATATCGTTTATAATATTTTAATAATCACAATTGAAATTTTAATGTATATTTTTTAAAAAAAAATAATAAATGAAATAGGTGTATATAATTGAAAATAAAATTATAAAAATTATCAAATACTTTATATTTTAAATTAAAAAAATTTGAAAAATGTCTTATATTGTATTTTAGAAAGAGTATATAACAAATAGGAGGAAGTATAATAAACCATTAAAAATGAACCCATAGCTCATAAATACTCCCTCTATTCCAATTTACAAGATACTTTCATATAAAATCACACATATCAATATAATTAATTAAATACATTTTATTTTATTTTAAAATAAAAATATAAACTTTTAAGAATGCCCTTCAATTAATACTTCATTTATAAAAGAATATTAAAGAGAGACAATATAATATGTAGGGCTATATTAACAAATACTTGTTATTATTAAAGTATTTTATATTTTAAAATATTAAATTTTTTTAAAAAATATCTTATAAATTGGGATCGAGAAAGTGTAAAATAAAAAGACAAAAACAAAACGAAACCACGTGTAAGATGGAAAAAATCTGCCCATGTGGGCTTGTTTATTGGGTATTTCCGTAGACCGATTGGTTGTGCATGAGGGGCCGGGAAGGATGATGATGTGTGGGCCTGTTTAAAGTAAAAAGACAGGCCCAAAAGCTTGTTCATGTGTATGTCATGAAATATTGATTTCCTATCACATCTTATTGTTATTAGCCATTAGCAATGCACTGAAAATTAAATTGGTCATTGAATCCATTGAAATTAGGAGTTAAAATCAAGATTCAATTGAAGTCAAATTAAAATTAAATCAATCATAATAAAATAAAATAATTTAATTAAAAATTTACTAATACTCAATACATTCATTTATATTCAAGATTTAATATCTCAAATAACATACAACAGTAATTTTAATAATAAAAAAAATTTGCATGATAATAAAATTAAAGTGAGAAAAATAATAATAGGATATAAACATAGAATTAAAAAAGAAATAATAAAAAATTTATAGGTTAAAACGTAATAAAAATACATGTAAATAACTAAATATATAATTTCAATTAATAAAAAATTGAAATATGTGTAGAAAGTGGTTACAGCTAGAAAATGTGTATAGTGTGATGGGATGAACTGAAGAAGTGAAGTATCTGACACCTCATTTCAATAAAAAAATTGATAAAACTATTGTGCTCCCTTATGGTTGGAAACTTTTTAGTAGTAGTGTAGTGCACTTATCCTTAGCCATTTCATCTCTATGTAAGCCTTGATGGAAGGAGGACGTAGAGAACCTAAAAATGCTAAAGGAAGGGAGAGAGAGAAGCTACACCTAAATGGAGTGGGGAGGGAGAGAGAGAAGCTACTAAAGGTCAAAGATAAGTAAGACCCATAGACTTACGAAGGTCAAGCCTGAAACTCGAAGAGAGTTCATTGCTCAAGGATGACAAATGATAAGATGAGAGTAGTGTGTGTTTTTTTTTTTCTTCCCATTTTTCTGACCTAGATAAATTACTAGCTCATTCGGATTAATCTTGGGTTAGCTAATTTCACATCAAAAAAGGGAACTAGACAAACACACGATCGGGTCATTAGTTCACACTGATTTGATCAGTCGGTCCAGTTTTATAAGCAACAGCCATTAGTTTCACTTCTATGTATTGTATTGAGTCTATTAGGGGCATCTAATGTGATTTCCTCAAGTATTATTAATTTGATGTGTTGTGTTACTTTATATTAATATGATACCACTCCAATACTTATTAAAGCACCCAACTAATAAAGAATGTGGTTAATAATTAATTTAATCTGAAAATGGAATAAGTTCTAATTTTATCCATCTTTAAATAAATTTTTTTATATTTATATTAGATTCTCTCTTATATTAATAACTTTAAATAAAATAATATTAAAAATACTTAATTAATACCCATCAAGTAATTTACTCCCTCAATTTAAAAATGTAAGTTATTTTTTGAGGGTGTGGATGTTCAAAAATTTAAGACATTTTAGCCTTTCAAAGTATAATCATTATTTTTTTAAAGTATCCCTATTGAATTTTATATTTATTTTAGGATAAAATACCCTATTAAATAAGGATAAATATTAAAAAGTAAGATTAATTTAAAGATAAATAACTATATGAGATTTGTTTTGAACAGAGAGAGTATAATAAATCCATTTCTTTTAAAATGTGTATGTCTCGTAATTGGTGGTAGAGTCATGTATTTTTAGCCAAAAAAGAACCCAATCCTACAAACACAGTTTTTGTTAGTCAAGTTTGTTCCAATCCGAAGCCATGTGGCCGACAATATGTATATGTATATGTATATATTACCGGATCTCGTGCATTGTATTTGCTTGTATCTCTTGCTATGTACCTCAAACCTCAAACTCCTTTAGCATAGCCCTAAGCCCGTCCATGACATACCCTCCCCCATCAAAATGGACCTTGAGGGCATCCCCTCCCCCATCAAAATTAGACCTTGTTCTCAAGAACCAGGCTTGAAAAATTAACTTAAAAAGAATTTAAAACTGCATAAAAAGATGGATTAAGACCATTTCAAGATACTAAAATGAGATAGCCTTTGGTGTGTTAGGTTTAAGGGGAGAGATTTTAATGAAGGGGAGAAAAGGGTTTAATGTTACTTTGTTTGGTTCAGGAAAAAAAGAAAAGAAAAATAATTATATATAAACAATTTTGCTCTCATCTTACTAGCATTGAGATATTATAGAAGTGTATTTGCATTTTTTTTAACTTATTATGGAAGGCATATTGGTCAAGATATGACAAATTTTACCCCTCCCCTCCATTGCAATAAGTGAAAATAATATGATACCAAGGTGTAGTGTATCCGTAATTACAACAATACCCTTTAGGTGCAAAGCGTCTAAGATATTATTTTGACACAAGGCAACCTCAAAACAAGTTAGCTCAATCATGATTTCAAAGGTCACGATGGCAGTAATAGTCAAAATGATACAATCAATTGCAATATTGAGATAAAAATGATCCCAAACGGTATGAAAACCTTTTGTCATTTTATATTGCTTGGTGATGACAAAAACAAGAGGGTATTCCTTGGGTTCAAAAACATTAAAGCTAGCCTTCCATTTTCTAAGGAAGATAGAGCCAGAGAATATTGTCATTCAAATGACCCCATGGTAACAAAATCTTGATAACTCCAGTAAGTCGTGAGAATCTCAAGTTAGACAAAAGTTGATAAAAATACACGGCATAATGTGTAACAGATTTGGGATCACTTTCAAAGAAGAACCCTGGCATAAGATCAAGGCAACCCATTATAGAACATTCTTTCATAGGAAAACGCATTGCATTACCTTTTGCTTTGCAAAGAATTTGACTATCAACTGTCTGAGCACCAGAATGAGGACTAATAAAATGTAGGTATAGTCGAACATAGCACCCACCACTAAAATAAACAATATGCAGAGTGATTCGAAAACAACATATCATGATTTTGGAGTAAAAACATGCGGTGGCCTATAAAAGATGTATTCAGTTAAGACAAGACCATGCCACTGTTGTCCACTTAATTAAGTATTGCATCCTTAGAGGTTCATTTTTAACTGGGAAAATAATTAATAAGTTCGAGATCTCAACAACCAATTTCACGCACCTATCCATCTTAGCATCCCCAACATCAAAGACCAAAAGGCAAAATAAAATGACATAACATAACATTGACGCAATTACAGAACTAGGTTGGTTGATAACTTAATGGTATTAGACAGAGATTCTCATATCTTCTCACACTTGAAGAAAACTTCTCAGTCATGTTAAATTCTTCATGAGTGATTCCATTCGGCAGTTTCCAATCAAAATGATAAACCAAATTTGCAAGTGGAAGCTCAATGCTGGCTACAGCAAAGTTAATTCCAGGACACATTCTCCTTCCAGCACCGAATGGTAAATAGTCCATGTTTGCTCCTCTGAAATCAATTGGATTATCCAAAAATCGTTCTGGCTTGAACGTCTCAGCATCATTCCAAAACTTTGGATCTCGTCCTATTGCCCAAGCATTGACCATTATTCTAGTCTTTTCAGGTATTTCATATCCATTGATCACACATCTCTCATTGCTCTCTCTTGGAAGTAGAAACACACCAGGTGGGTGTAGCCTTAAGGTTTCTTTCACAACAGAGTTCAAGGACTTCAATTGGTGAATCTCACTTTCATCCACAAATTCTTTTCCCTTGTATACCCATCTCACCTCAGCTTGAGCCTTCTCCATCACAGATGGGTTTTTAATCAATTCAGCCATAGCCCACTCTAGAGCAGTTGATGTTGTCTCTGATCCACCAATGAACATATCCTGAAAATAGGTTACATATATAGGAGCTTATCATAAGAATTAATGTCTGTAATAGGTGGTTACTGTACAACGTACGTAAGAGTAAACTTTTACTGTATATGTTCCTCACCACAATGACGGCTTTGACGTGGTCATGAGTCAAGGAAAATTCTAGATCTTTTCCCAGCTGAATCTTCAGAAGAACATCAAGGAGATTCTCTTCATTCCTCTGATCATTACTTCCGGCTTTTCTTTCTTTGTGAGACCTGATGATGTTTTCTAATACTTGATCATTCAATTTGTGGACCCTTTCAAGCCTAGCTTTCATTCCTGTAATCCTTTGAAGCACTTCTATCGAAGGAAAGAGATCGGCAATTGAAAAACCTCCCAGCATCTTCGTTACATCGTCCAGTGTAGATAAGAAAGCTTCGTGATCTCCATTTTCAGACTTCCTACCAAGGCTGATCTTGCAACTATAGAAGATGTGGTTGAGAAAATTTTCTCACTCAGATTTATGACAGACCCTGAATTAGACAAGACGTCTTTGACAAGTGCAGATACCTCGTCTTCCCTTATGAACCTGAAGGATCTAACACGCTTTGCAGTTAAAAGCTCTGAAGTACATATTTTTCGCAGGTTCCTCCAATGGTTTCCGATCTGTCGAGCAAATCCAATATCTATGTTATTGTAAGAGATGATCCTGGCAGCAAGAATGTCAGGTCTGTTGGAGAAGACAAGGCCATGTGTTTTGAAGATCTGTTTGGCAATTTCTGAGGAAGAGACAATGACATTGGATGTCTGCCAAGCTGATGATGCATCAAGGGTCCATACTTGTTGGACAAGTGTCTCAAGGAGTGATGGGGCAGTGACCCAACAATTTGATGGATGTTCCCTATAAGGGGCAACTTCCATGGTCCTGGAGGTAAGGGAAGGGTTTTGCTTGATTTCATAAAATTGGATCTCTTGTATATCAGAAGAAGGAAGCAGAACAAGATGAAGTAGAGGAAGATGTGGAGAATATTCTCCATGGTTACAGAACTGCGATGTTAAGTTGTTCAGGGTAGAATGATTTATATGCAAGGGGATAGAACAAATGTCCAACAACTCTACCCAAACTATCTAGGGGAGAGGGAGGGAGGCGAAGACTCAATAGTCAATACCGTCATTTTCTTTGACAATTCCACAAGACGAAGACGAGAAATTTGGGATTGAACCTATCGTAAGATATTTAATAGTAATGTGGGGACGGATTTAAATCTTCTAGGTAAAGGGTTTTTTTCATAATATTTTTACTCGTTGTGTTATTTTTTATAATATATATATTTTTTATTTTTTAAAAAACTTTACAAAAAATTATTAACCAAAACTTTAGGGGATTTTTTTTTTAATAGAAGCTGAATACCATTAAAAAACTAGTAGCAGGTACACAAACATCACCAAAACACTAAAAAAAACAAAAACCTACATTTTTTCATCATCTTCCAACCCTAAATTAGGAGATGGGTGATGATTAAAGAGACAAAAACTACTAACCATATTAGCTTCTGATTTACTTCTTGGAGGCCGGCATTTAAAAATTCTTGTGATTAATTAATTATTTATCCTCACTTAATTTTATCTCTTTCCAAGGTCGTTATCTAAGTCAGATCACTTCAAAATTTAATAGTAATCACATATTTATAAACTTAATACAGAACTGCAGTAGTTTGTGCCCAAAAAATAAAAAATAAAAAATAGAACCGCCCTATCAGTAAGTTAATTTTGCTTCTTTTTTTTTTTTTTTAACTAGCATCATCCTGAAATTCAGTACATGTATAAGTTGACTTTTGCTGACCCTTAATTAGGGAGAGTCAAAATCTGTGTAATTGACTAGAAAAAGGTTAATTTCGCTTCTAAAAATTATGGAATATTTACAATTTTGGCTTGTCACTTGCAAAAAAGAAAAATAAAGTTTTATTTATTTAAACATCGTTTTGAGATGTAAATTAAGCAAATAAATTTTGGCTTCTAAAATGAGTTAAGGAATTTGAGTTGTAAATTATAAAATATCATTTTAATTGGACAATTTATTTAAATAATAAATCCCTTAATTCATTTTTGCATTTAATTTCTTTTTACTAATATTATAATAATCACAAAGTTTCTTTTTTTCATTGTTCACATATCCTCCTATTGAAAATAATTATATTCAAGTACCATCAAGTATTATATGTGGGTACTATTTCAAAAATAATTACTATATTATATGAAACTAACCCCTTCATACAGTAGAATAAATTAATGAAGCTGGAGGTTTCGCCAAAAAAAAAAAAAGAAGAAGCCGCAGGTTTGGGCCAAAAATGAAGTAGGAGGTTGGGCTCAAAAATTGAGGCAAGAGGTAGCAATTAGGCCGTTACTTCATCGGGCTTTGAAGATATAACTGAGGTTATTTCCTTTTGGGCCTATGGCCGATGATGTAATGTAACCGCACTAATTAAGTGGTCAAAAAAAAAAAAAAAGCCGCGCTAATTCTTGATTATAGAGTGTAATTGATTGATTTGAAATTAATTGTTCTCTATTGATTTGATGATAGAAGAATTGTAAGGATAAATATTTAAAATATTATGTTTTACTACTGCTAGAATTCTTGTAGTATGTTGTATGAAATGTAAAGTTTTGAATATGGATAAATGTGTTAAAATTATTGTGTTTTTATTTAAATTATATTATTTTATTATGATCAGATTGACTTTAATTTAACCTTAGTTTGATCTCGGTTGAATTCCTCTTTATCTTGATTGGTTCAATGATTGATTTAGTTTTCAGTACTTTACTAATTTATGATATTTTTATAAAAATATTATGAGTTATTTGTTTTAAATAAATAAACTATAGTTTTTTAATTTTTTTTCCTTATAGTTACGTTTAATCAAGTATATATTTTATTTTTATATAAATTGTGAGGTTTTTAAAAATTTATTTTAAGTGAACCAAGTCAACTCACACTTGACATCTCAACACTTTTTCTAGTCCAAGATATAAGTCTTGTTTGATAATATAAAGGGCATTAATTTTTTTTTTGTTTTCCTAATTTGCCCTTGTATACTGGTTAAATATTATGCAACTTTGGAAATTTTTTTTTTAACTCTGACATATTTAATGGGTTAATGTACACCTAGGTAGATTTTTTTCACCGGTGATACAGCTAGGTAGGTTGAACTTATATTTGGAAACGAGTATAGCTTAAATGCTTGCAAATAATTTCATTTTTTGAACAATCTGATTAAAGTCAAAGATGAATTGAGCTGCCTTTTTATCTTCTAAAAGCAAACTTTTCAACAGCATTATATTATATTATGTAAAATATATAATCAATTTCTTAAACTCCGGTCATGCAGGGGAATCAAGTGCTCCAGTTTATTATAATAAAGGTGGCTGCTGGTTGCCATATTATCAAAATCAGATGAATTATTATCCAAGTCATGACCTAGACGTAGGTGTTTTTTTATTTTATTTTTTTATTAGATTATTTTTTTAATAAATAATAATAATAATAATAATAATAATAATAAAAGAACAGCTATGTTCCTCTGCTTCACACACATGTATAAAAGAGCAACCAACGCTGTGGTTTTCTCAAACAAATACTTCCATGTTTCTCAGTACCAGTATGTCTCTCTCGCGTCCCTCCTTTGCTCCTTCGGTCTCTCCAGGTTCCATCTCTGTCTCTGTCTCTGACTCTGTTTTGTTTCTGTGTGTTTATCTTTCGCGCGAATTCAAGCTTTAAAGAACAAATCAATATATGTAATTGATTCATAAGAAGCATAGAAATCAAAATCTTGATTTGGGTTATCGAGTTGAGCCGATCATCGTTCTCTTCGCCATTTCTGAATCCTGCTTCGTTTGCTAAGAAATATTAGGTGATGCAGGGAGCTCTGTCCTGAGTTCTGACTTAAATTATTCATTTGATGTACTTTTCTCTGTTTTCATACTGATGATTAATCATTTTGTTATCTGTAACATTAGTATACTACATAGTGGTTGAATGAAAAAAGACATCACAATTATCATCCTTCAAATTTCAATCATCATGCGCTTCAATATTTAATCTGTCCATTTGTTTTAGGAAAATGACGGATCAGGATCCCCTGCTGCCAATATATTTTTAAGTCTCTGTAAAAATATTAATAAAATGATTTTTTATAATAATAAAATAAATAGAAAAAATTTAACTTGTTTAAAAGCCCTCTCTTTGACTGTTCTGTTCAACTTTGTGACGAGTATATTTCACTCCTTTTTTTTTCCCTCCTTGTTGGAACGTTGAATGTTCTTTTTTTTTTCCCCGTCAAAAAACGTTGAATGTTGTTTGGTATCGGTTCATCTTAAGATTGAATTAAGGAATCACAGTTAAGTCCCATGGAACTAATTAATTCAAATTAAATCTTAACTAATTTTAAAATGCTAACAAATTCTTTTGACCTTTCAGCGGCAAAAATTAAAATATTAAATTTAATAGCTATAGGAATTTTAAATTCGGCTTCTGACTTTGTAACTCTAGTGAATTTATAATTTATTTTTTAAATTTTAACTGGAACACAAATGTTCATATTTAATATTAAAAATAAAAGACTTAATAAATATTATTTATTTTCAATCTTATTAAAATTTGAAAAATAACTTGTAAATTCATATTAATAAAGTTGCAAAATTAAGAGTCTCTTGCAAATTCATGAAACTGTTAGACTTAATATTTTACCACTAAAGGACCAAAAAAATTTGTTGGTATTTTGAAATTGATTAGCACTTAACTTGAGTTAATTAATCCTCTTAGAACTTAATTTTTATTCTCCCTTGAAGTAAACCCAAGTGATGTTGTTTGTATATTAACATAATTCTTTTTTTAATGATATCATTTTGTTAACGGTAATCTTATTCAAGGCATAATCAACACTAAATATGAGCACATAAATTAAAAAAAATTTGAATAACAATGTATTCATAAGTTTGTAAATATAATATCTTAATTTTAAAATTGCATGCAATGCACGCAGAATTGATATATGTATTTTTATATTCACAAGAAATATTGGAAAAGTAACATCTTCTGTGTACTTTCATTTTTCAGCAACTTCGGTTGGATCCAATGGCAAGGGCAAAATTCAGAGTAGACCTAACATCGTAAAAATATCATCCTTCCCTTTCCCACTTTTCTCTTTACTTTAACATCTCAATTTTGTTTATTTTTTTTATACTTTAATATTTAAATAAAATCATCTGAATGTGATCAAAAAGTCTGAAACTAACTAGAAAAGTAGGGAGAGAGAAGTGAATTTTTGAGAGGATTTGATTTCCTATTTCTTTTATATATGTATCCATATGAATAAATGATTACTCTAACCTGACAAATATTTGATTAAAAAAATGTATTAATAATTGGTGAATTATATTCCATGAAAAATGCAGATGTTTGAAGTTCAGCAAGAGAGAATAAAGAAGATGTTTCATAAAGTTGACCTACCTACATCTTGTTACGACACTGCTTGGGTAGCAATGGTGGCATCACCTTCTTCTTCAAAAACCCCTCTGTTCCCTCAAACCTTAAATTGGTTATTAGAAAATCAACAAAGTGATGGGTCATGGGGTCTTCCTCATCATCACAATCTCTTAATCAAAGATTCTCTTTTATCTACTCTGGCTTGTGTTCTTGCACTAAAGCAATGGAATGTGGGTGAACAACAAACTTATAAAGGTATTATTCGTTTTGGTTGATATGAAGTTATTTTATTCGTGTAGCTTAGGTGCAGTGACTGAATCCTTAGTTGTAATTAACTGAGTAATTAATTGGATGATTCTCTTTTGTTGAAGGACTTCAATATATTGAGTCAAATATTGCTGCAACTCGTGATGATAAACAATACTCTCCAATTGGATTTGATATTATCTTCTCTCATTTAATTGAGTCTGCTCAAAAATTGGATCTAAATCTTCCTCTTGGAGGGATGCATTTGGAGTCACTCATGCAAAAGAGAGAATTGGAGCTCAAAAGGTATATAACTTTTTGTAATTCTTACAGTCAAATTAATAAAATGCATATATACCATGGATTTAGCATATTTGAATTGAAACGTTCCATTAAACGAGAATGACAACTAAGTATATTTGAAAAAGGAAATCGATTAACAGTTATGTTTTTGATAATTTTTTTCAAAAATAAGCTGCAAATATCCATTCAAATAATAATTATAAATACATAATTTTTAGTTGCAACCAAGACATTTAAATTTTACACGTGACTCTTCCTATTTATAATTGTCATAATCAATATTTATAATTTATTTTCCAGAAATTTCTGTGAGATACCTAACTGTGATTACTTTCATCTTTTGAGATTTTAATTACTGCCATCCTTTTTTTTTTTTTAATGTTTGTGTTTTTCTTATTTATCCCTTTTAACACTCAACAATTGTTATAATAACAGAGGCTGGGAAGACAATTCAGAAGGATGGAAGGCATATTTAGCATATATTTCAGAAGGATTAGGAAAGTCACAGAATTGGGAAATGGCGATGAAATACCAAAGAAAGAACGGATCTTTATTTAACTCACCAGCTACAACAGCATCTGCTTTTACTCACCTTAACAATACTCAGTGTCTTGATTATCTGCTTTCGCTATTCCATAAATACGATAACACTGGTTTGTCACTTTCAAACTTTCTTTTTTTTTTTTTCAATTTTTTTTAATTTTAAATTCATCTTTGTACTAGTTAATTAATCAACTTCATATATATCCAGTCCCTGCTGTTCATCCCCTGGACGTCCATGCACAACTCCACCTGGTTGATTGTCTTGAAAAATTGGGTATTGATCGTCACTTTCAGCACGAAATTCAAAGTGTATTGGATGAAATATACAGGTATTTAACAATTCATTAAACAATCTTAATTCTTAATAATATATCAAATTGTTCACGTGTGTGTGTGTGTGTGTGTGATTTAACAGATTGTGGCAGCAAGAGGATGATGATATCTTTTTAGAGCCAGTCACATATGCTATGGCATTTCGTTTACTACGCCTGCACGGTTATGATATTTCTTCAGGTTTTATAGCATTTCTCACAGTGTTCATGTGTGTGTGTGTGTGTGTGTGTGTGTGTTCTTTTTCTACGTATAGCAATGAAAAACTATATATGGATTTAATTCTGATATAAATAATTTGTACGTGTCCTCAGAGGAAATGAATCATTTCTCAGAAGACAAGTTCTGTAATACCCTTCAAGGATACTTGAAAGATGTTGGTGCTATTTTGGAGTTACACAAGTCTTCGCAGATAGTTTTACATTCAAATGATTCAGTTCTAGAGGAACAGAGTTTCTGGACAGGGAAATTCCTGGAGGAATATTTGTCGTCTTCCTCAGATAACGCTCACAAACCTTTTCACAAAATTGATCATGAGGTACAGATCAAGCCTTCATTTTCATTAATTAATAGTTCATTAACTATTTCTGATATTGTTATATATATACATATATATATATATATATATATATATATTCCAGATACGTTATGCTGTGAGGTTTCCTTATCATACTAGTTTGGATCGCATATTAAACCGGACATCTATAGAGAATTACAAAGTAGATGAAAAGAGAATTTTGAAAACTTCATACAGGTATGAATACTACATATACATGCATGTGTTTGTTTGTGCGTGCTTCATCTTTAAAAGCTCACTTGTTGCTTTGTGTCTCTGGTTCTCTGAATCAGTCATTTGGACCTCGCAACAAGCAAAAATATGTTAGAGCTGGCTGTACAAGATTTTAACCACGGTTTATCCATGTATCAGAAGGACTTGCAGCAATTCAACAAGTATGCATGCATCTACAAAGTAAATTTTGTATATCACGTGCCTTCAATTGAGCCCAACAATGTTGATTTGATTGATCAGGTGGTTTATGGAGAGTGGACTGGATAAACTACACTTTGCTGTGTCAAAGACAAAATTGGGATATTCATTCATGACAGCAGCAGGAGGGCATTCATGGTCAGAACTTAACGAAGCACGCCTGGCATGGGCCAAGAATGGCTTGCTTGTTTATGTTGCTGATGATCTCTACGACGTTTGGGGCTCTCAAGAGGAACAGATCCATCTTTTAGGCTTGATGGAGAAGTAATAAATAAGCTATCTCTAATTGCATTATTTTATTGAGAGTTCACCAGATCTATTTGTAATATTGAAATAGAGTTTGATTGCTATATAATGTTCAATTCACAGGTGGGATGTAGATGTGAGCAAAGAAGATGTTCTGAGACAGTGAAGATATTGTTCTTAGCAATCAAGGGAACCATTTGTGAGATTGCGGAGCAAGCTTCCAAGGTTCAAGGACGAAGCGTGTTGAATCACTTGATTCAGCTTGTGAGTAGTATAAACTAAAAGTCAAACTATTTATAGGTCAAACAAATTAAATATTGTAGTTTACTTCAGACATGAATGTTGGGTTTGAATTACTGTACTTGGTTTAAATTGCAGTGGGTGGATGTGTTGAGGTCGTTTCTGAAAGAAGCTGAGTGGTCGAGAAACAAGAGTGTGCCAAGCATGGAAGAGTATGAACCAAATTCAATAGTATCATTGGCTATGGGAGTGATCGTCCTTCCAAGTCTTTATCTAATGGGGCCTCAACTTCCCCAGGAGACTATCGAAAGTGATGAATACAATCAACTCTTTCATATCCTTAGCTTTTATGGCAGATTACTCAATGATGTCAATGGCTACAAGGTAACGTACCCCAACTCTTATTTTAAAAAATGACCCATTCACTATACTGCTACATAAAAATCCACAGGAGTGTTTCTATTTTTATCTACAAGAGCACTTTGAAAGCACTCATATATGTTTACATTACAAGAGTGCTTTTCTAAATTCTATATTGAGTTGAGAATATGAATTGGCCTGAATAATTTATTATAATAAAGGTTGTGCTAGGTTGAAAAAATATTAACTCATAAAAATATATGGATCTGTTTCAGCTTAGATCAAATAACCATGAAGCAAATGAGTTAACCCTAACAGGGTAGAATTGGGCCATTTAACCTATATTATTTGTTAAAAAAATGAAATAAAATTGAAAAATAAAAAATGGAGGGAACTGAAACCTCACAATTCAAGTAAATTTTGGATTGAATCATGATGGAATTGATCAATATCATATAATTATGATGTGATTTTTTTTAATTACATGAAGTATCATATTAGAATTACTTCTTATTTAGGTGTAATTTTTTAAAAATTCATGAAAAAAATAAATATATGAGTTGATAGGTTAGCTCATTTAACCTATCAACTTGTAAAAGTTAGGTTCGATTAAATTTTTTTAATCCATATAAAAATAAATTGAACCTAACATAACCCATATGGTCTCAAATTAGCTAATATTTTCAACTCTAATTTTATATAGAGTAAGTAATATTGACCAACCCGAGAGTTGCGAGCTAGCTCATGGTGGGTTGTGGGCTTGGCAATGCAGGCGAGCATAACCTACATGTTGACAAGTTAATCCACTAGCAAAACATTTTTTTTACATATTTTTAATTGTAAAAATTACAAAACCACATCTTTTCATTTTTTTTCCTAAGAGAATCAATTTTTTATTTAAAAATAAATTATTCCAATGACAATAAATTCCTTCTAAGTTACTAAAAATTACAATATAAATTTAAAATACATGAATCACTGTCAAAAAAAATATCTACTCTATCACAAACAAACATAATAAAAATTTAAATTACAATTCAAAGCTTGAATTAATATTTTTCTGAATCACTGATAATAAAAAAAATCCATTGTCCTCTTCTGATGCATTGAGACCATCATTATGATCGACTTAAGAGTATCATAATTTAATATCCAAGACCTTAACATTCATCTCATTGCAGTGAACCATAAAAGATACAAAAGCAACCTGCTTTTATAGTAGTTCAAACACATGAACCTTGGAAATTAGTTTTCTTCAGTAATGGGCAAGGCTGAATAACAGAGCTCCAAAGACGAAATCATAGAGACATCATGAAAAACCAAGTTCTGTCAACTTGACATTAACTAGAGAAATGTATGAATCTATGAAATAGAATATAAATGACCTGACAATTAAAATAGTAAAACCCCACAAATTAACACATGACGGGTACTCACCACTGTCCGTCCCAATAACACCATGATGAAATGCCCAGATAATCACAAAAACCTTAAAAGAGAGGGGGGGGGGAAGGAAGGGAGTGAATCAATGGATATTTAAGCAAAACTCTCATATGTAAAAACAAATTTTTTAAAAAAAATGAGCAGGCTAACCTATTAACCCACGAGTTAATTTGATGTGGGTTTGGGTTATGTGCTGCAGGTCAAAATAGGCTCACATCTAAACAAGTCACATTTTTTGCCAACCCGACCTGTATTTTTTTGGTGTGGACTCAACCAATATTATCAGCTCTAGTTCTTTGAGTATTTTTATTTATAAAGGCTCTATAAGAGCTTTCTTGTAGACCTTAGCTATGGTAACCTTCCTCTGCACCACGAAAAAATTAATTAGGATTAACAATTAGATTATGATAATATCTCTCAGGCGTTGTATGAATTAGGGTTGATTAATAAACTGGTGAAAATGGATTTGCAGAGGGAAAAAGAGCAAGGAAAACTGAACTCAGTTGCATTGCAAGTGATTCATGGGTCAAGTGAAGAAGAGATCATAAAGAAGATGAGAGTGAAGATTGATGAGAAAAGAAAAGAGCTTCTGAGAAAAGTTTTGCAGAAAGAAGGGAGTGTGGTTCCAGGAGAAGTCAAACAAGTTTTCTGGAAAATGGCCAAGTTGCTGACCTTGATTTACAAGAAGGATGACGTCATGCACGAAAATGAAATGCCTCAGGAAATGTTCAGCATCAAAGATGCATTGCTTGGAGATCCCATCGTTTTTAATTGATTATTAATTAACACTTAATAACCAAATTGTACTCTTCTTATTGAGTAACTAGACTGGATCCCCTACATTGCACGGATTTTACATGAAATAATTAAGAAAAGTAATATAGACATAAACATCAATATTATTTGCAAATAATATTGCATCTTCACAACTTCTCAAGAATTTATCATTAAGGTATCTATAGAAATACAATACAAAATTAAGGAAATTGCAAATATAATTAATTATTGAAAATATAAAAAAATATAAATAAAAAATTAGATTAAATTGATAAGTAAAATGTTTGAAATTGCAATTATTCTTATTACTAATATTTTATATGGAATTGATTGCTTCTATTCTATTCACCTTGCTTTTAATGCTGTTATTCCTGCTTAAAACTCTAATTTTATTATCAAGCACTCTAACTGCTGTATAATTCACAACGCCACTTAAAGATTCAATCAAGATTAAGTTCTGATGAGATTATTTGCTAACCATATATATATTTTACAATTTAAAATTAACTAATTAATCAGTTAATCATTATTATACGTGCCATTGAATTGGATATTTTTAGTAGAACTGCTTAATTTTCAAGTGAAATCAGTGGCGTTAGTGGCACTCATATTTGTCGCCCCTGAAAAAGAAAAGGTTCTACTTTTAACAATATATACATATTTTCACTCGATAATATTCAATGTAAAATTAATAGGCTATTATTCTCATAAATTCTTTTTAAAGGACCTTAAATATCATTCTCCTAACAAAAAAACAAAAACATTCTTGCCTATTGTCTTTCACGGATTTGAAGTTTTGAACTGATATTTAATTGGTTATAATCTTTAAGAGTAAACTACACAAGCCATCCTTCTATTTTATCTTAATTACATATACTACATTCTATTTTGAAAACTTAGATAAACCTCCTTTAAAATTAAAATATATATTACATAAGCCTTCCTTATATATTATTTGAGATTTCGTTTCCATCTATGCAACCGTTAGTTTAATGTTAAGTGTGACTTTTAAGCTATTAATTTGATCAAAATGTTCTCTTTAACATACTATCTCCTGAATGTAATATAAGTCATTATTAACTGATTTATATTTTTTAAAAAAAGTTAGTTAAAATCTTGATTTTCTAAAAATTGCCACATATTTTCCAATAATGCTCTTTGAATGTAATACATGTAATATTTGATTTATTTAAAATACCCTCATTAATTACTCAATAAAACAAACGATGTAATTGAAAAAAAAAATATGACATCTAACCAATGCACTATACTTTGGATTAAGCAAAACTTCTAAAAAATAAATTATATTATAATTTGGAGGAGTAAGAATATCTAAACATCTAAATTTTCCAAAAAAAAATTATTTTACATACAACTAAAAATTATAATAAATACATTTTCAAACTTTTTATTATATTATAAAATTAATTTTTTATATTATAAAATTTTATAATTTTTATTTTTATCAAATTTATTGAAAATTATTATATATTTTTTAAAATTTATAAAAATATATTTCAAAAACATATTTTTTTCAACATATTACATAAAATAAAGTTAAATTTAACATTTAAAATGATATAAATTCAAGACATTATATAAATCATGTAAATTTAAAATTTAAAATTTGTAAACATATTTTTTCGACAAACGTTTATAAACACATTGGATTTTATTTAAAAATTAATCAGATTCTTAATCAAATTTTTTATGTCTATTCAAGCTAAAAATTACTTTAAGCTTTGTCCCAATTTGCTATAAACATTAAGCAAATAACTACTCTCTAAACAAGAAAATAAATTTTAATGGAGTTAACGGATTAAATTAAATTGGATATTTTTAAAATAGAGAAAATGTCTAGTGTAATTAAAGTAAAATAGAAGTGATAAAAATATTTTACTCTAATCTTAGTTACTAATATGTATATTTTTGTTTTTATTTATAAGCAAAACTGCAAATTTTCAAAAAATATTTATCATATTTTTTTTTCTAAATTGTCCCTCATTAAATCCATTTTCATTTTAAGTAAACAAATTTGTTTCATTAATTATTGGGATAATTAAGTCAAATTTTTTTAATTTCAGACATAATTATTATATTTAACTAATTTTTTTAAACAGTGTAAATTAATTATTTTCTCATAGTAAAAAGGGAAAGAGTAATTGTTGTCTTTTTTCTTTAATGTCTTGATTAAAAGCTTTTGGAGCATTTTTTTTTTGGGCCATATGTAAACAAGCTTTTGCGATTCTAAATTTAAAGTCACTGACTTATAATTTGCTATACTTATTATTTAAAAATGGTAAAAATAACATAATTCAAAATTTATTTCTTTTTCAATAGAGAAAATAAAATTATCATTTATAAAGTCAAATTTTAAATATCAATGATATTTCCCAGGAAATAAATTATTTTCTATCAAATAAGAAAATTGCCTTATCTTTTTTAATAAAAAACATATTTTTGGATTAAAAGTTTGGCTTAATATGTGTGTATGAATGTGTAAAAAAATGTGCATGCACATGCGTTTTACTCTGAATTGACTTGTAAGTTTGATTTTACTCTAAACTTTATATCTTATTGTGTTGTTATTTTTTTTTTGGGTAAAATCTTAATGTGTTGTTATGCACAAAAGAAAAGGTATAGCTATCCAAATAACCATTAATTAGTTTTTCTTTTTTTGGTTCGTTGAAGATTACTAAATTTTAATAATACAAAACTCCAAAATATGGTCAACAATTGAGCATAATTCATAGGGTTTTTTTTTTCAAAAAAAAAAATTATCTCTCTCTCTCTCTCTCCCCTTTAATTTCGTTCATAACTTTGATTTAATATATTTGATATTTTTGTTGAGAGGAAACTTCTTCCATTGCAATTCCATTCAACAATAGCTGGCCAAGGCAAAAAAAAGTCTGTTAAAACATGGAGACCGGATAATGTTTAATAAAAACAATAATGAAATATTTAAATTCAAAGTTCAATCGCATATTGTTTGAGTTTTTCTATAAATTCTAATCGAAATCAGATTAAAACAATTTAATAATAACAAGTTTTAAGATAAGTTGATGAAATTTAAAAGACAAAGAAATAAAAAATTCCACGAGTCAAAAGTATCGAATAAATTACTCCCAGATGAGAAAGATGCTTGCGTAATTTTCTGGCGAGCGTAAAACGACCGCAAACTTTTTTTTTTTTTTTAATACGGCTGTGTTCGTTGAATTGAACTTAAGCTTCTAACCAACCAATTTTTTGTTAGAATAGGCTTTCTGTTTGAAAAGGATTTTAAAAAATAATAAATAAGTTGCGTGGAGAAAATTTTAAAAATAGTACATTTTTTTATTACCTTTAAAAAAATTTTCTTCAAGTTGTTCTTCTCCTTTATTTTTCTCCCTATTCAAACCAAATAAAAGTTAGTATACAATTTAAATCTTAAATTATAAATTGAGGGATGATTTAAACACTAAATCTTTAAAAGATACATTTTGAATTTTAAACAATAAAAGTTAAAACAATTTTCCCACATCGTTAAGTTTAAATGAACGTATGTTAAATTAGATCTTAATTTTTAAAAAATTAACAGATATTTGTTAAAATTTAACAATTGAGGGTGAAATTACCTTAACTTTAGTTCTTTAGAGTTTAAAATGTATCTTTTAAAAGTTTAGTCACCTCTGAACTTATAATTCAGGATTTGAATTGCACATTAATCCAATCAAACAATAACAACTTATATTATGTGTTTGTAAAAATAATATGTGTTCCTAATTTCATGGCAACCCTTTTTTATAAATTCATTGAGAGCATCAAATTCATTTAAATATTAATAATTAAAAAATAATTAAAAATTATTTAATGATCACATATACCTTATTAAAAATTACTTAATAATTACATATACATCTTTTTTAATATGAGTCACTAGATAATCATTAATCCATAGATTCTCCATTCAATTGTACAACTAATTTTTCACAAACTTTATAACAAAAAAAAAAAGCTCTTTTATCAGACAATACAATTGCTAATTTTAGGGGAAGATAAATTGATAGACAAACAATAATGTCTTCGAGTTTCAACTAGTTTTTCAGCAAGAATAAATTTTTTAAAGGTTTAATAAATGATAATTTTTTATAAAATAATATTAGTATTTGGATATGGTGAAACTATAAGCTAAAATATACCGGATTTTGAGTTAAAAAAATTTTAAATTTGGGTTAAAAAATAACCTAAAATGAATTTAAAATTTAAAATATTAAAATAAAAGGATACAAAATATGAAAAGAAGGATTGCAAAATATAAAATCCTATACCATTGTATGTAATTTTGTTCAAGTGAGGGACATAAACACGTGGCTGCGCCACTGGTTGAGAGAGACCTGCTGGCAAGGACTCACAGGAGCATGAATCTTGGGAGAACACAGTAAAATTCCAAAAAGATTAATTAATAATAGTTACTCCTTCCATTTAAAAATATAAAATATTTTTAATTAAATTTTATTTTTAATAAAATAATTATATATTTTTAAATTAATTGTATTTTTTTATATTTATCTTTATTAAACATCCTATAATAAATATAAAATTATTATCAATAGAGACACTTTAAAAAAAATAATAATTACACCTCAAAAGATTAAAAATATCTTACATTTTTTAATATTAAAATTTTTAAAAAATATTTTAAATTTTTAAATGAAGGGAGTAAGTCTTTAAATTTTTTTATAAAATAAATTATAAATATCAATTCAAATAGTTATAAACAGAAATTTGAATTACAAACTAATTATCATATTTATAATTTAAATATCTTATTTACAATTGAAATTTTTAAATTCACAACTATTTGAATTGATATTTACAACAATTTTTTTTAAAAAAATTTGTTAAGAATTTAAATGTCATTATTTTTTTTTTTTGAGACTTTACTATCATTCTCTCATGAATCTTTTGTATTATAGTGTGATAATGTAAGGAGAAAGATTCAGAATGGGAAGTCTTCTCACTCTTTTTATTTTGAAACTATTGTTATTTTAGATAATTGGCTCAGGTTTGGTACTCATTTCTATAATGAGATTTATATCGTTTAGATTTTTAAACGGTTGATATTTAAAATTTTTATTTTATGATTTTTAAATGATAAATTTATTTTTTCACAAGAGGAACTATTCGAATGTTATCTTTATTATTTATTAAAATATAGAAATAAAATAATATTAAATCAAAATCATCTAATTTTAACGTAAACACTCCAGATTTCGTCCTCATCACGTGAATAGCGTACTGAAATTGTTTCCTAGACTATTATCAGGATCCTATGCACGTGCTCATCAATCAAACGACCGCGTTTAGGATGCAAGAGGAAACGTTGACAATTAATAGTAATTTTATAACTATAAAGCCGAAAAAAGAAAAGGGTTTATAACTCTGAATGGATGCAATATTTTTTTTTTTGCACTAAAAAGTTAATATTGAGATACTCCAGTAGTTTTTCACATAACAAGAAATTAATATTATAAAACAATTCAATATTAAGATGTATATATAGAGATATACTACAAATATTATAAAAGGCCAATATATATATATAATTTATTTGCTAATTTCAACTATAAATCCCTTCATTTATATAAAAATGAATTCGTATCAATGAGATCGCGCGAGATCGTCTAAACCAACTTGTATTAGAAATTAAAATCAGTATCGGTTCCTTTGGAGCATTGACTTGGAATTTAAAAGTGATAGTCATGGAGAATGATGACTTTTATTTTATCACAAAAAAAGGAAAAAAAACTGTTTTTCAAGTATACAAAGTCACCACAAGCTACAACTCTCAAGTAGTTCACAGCATGGAGATACAATATTCTTCTATTCAACAGCCCATTCAAAATTATATCGATTATTACAGGAAATAGCTAATCACATTTTATTCTTTTTTATATTTCTACGAGTGGAAATATGCTCAACTTTGTAATTATTAGTGGGAATAACGAATTGGAACAACGCATAGATCATTCTTTCTTCTCACCGTGGCACCAAATTCCTCAGTCATGTCCAATTCATTTGTTCCGTTAGGAAGCTTCCAATCGAAATGGTAAAGCAAATTGGAAAGTATAAGCTGTAGAACAGGTGCAGCGAACGAGATTCCAGGACATATCCTCCTTCCAAAACCAAATGGAATGAACTCCAAGTTCCCACCTTTGTAATCAATTGAACTGTCCACAAATCTCTTTGGTTCAAACTTGTCTGCTTCATTCCAATACTTTGGATCTCTTCCAATGGCCCAAGCGTTGATCATGACCCTAGTCTTCCTAGATATCTCGTACCCATTGATCTCAACAGTCTCGCTGTTTTCTCTCGGAACTAGCAGAGACCCAGGTGGATGCAATCTCAAGGTCTCTCTGATCACAGCTGGTACATATTTCAATTGGTGAAGTTCTGATTCATCTACGTATCCTTTGCTTCCATACACCCTTCTTACTTCTGCTTGAGCCTTTTCCATTGCTGCTGGGTGATTCATCAATTCTGACATTGCCCACTCCAGTGTTGATGCTGATGTTTCCGTTCCTCCAACAAAAACATCCTGAAATTAAATGGATTCATCACATGAGTTATGATTAACTAAACTATATACGACTTTATGAATTAAACTGAGACTAACCAATATGACGGCTTTGATGTTGTCGAGAGTCAAGGTGACTTCGTCGTTATTCTGCTTTTGAACCCTGAGAAGAACATCAACTAAATCCTCATGTGCCTCGTCACCATCAACATCGATCTCTTTGTTTCCTCTGTGATCGTCGATGATATTTCCGAGCAACCTATCAACCTCTCTGTGAGCTTTGGCTACTTTATACCGAGTCACACTGAGTGCATTAAGGAATTTCAGAGAAGGATAGAGATCGGAAATGGTGAAACCGCTGGCCACCTGCACCGTGTACGCCACCGTGGAAAGGATTTTCTCGACGTTCTTTGTCTTCTTCCCGAAGGCAGCTCTTCCAACTATGGAATTCGTGACTGGGGAAATTATCTTGCTGAGATTCACAGCAGAACCTTGACGTTCATCAATGAACTTGACAACTTCTGATACCTCTTCTTCCCTAATTTTTTTGAACGATTGGACCCTCTTCATGGACAAAAGCTCCAGAGTACAAACCTTTCTAAGAAGCCTCCAGTAGCTTCCATATGGAGCAAAAACCAAGTCGGTGCTATTGTAAGCGAAGATCTCGCTGACAAGAATTTTGGGTCTGTTCGAAAAGACTTGATCGTGTGTTTTGGTAATCTCTTTGACAATTTCCGGCGAAGTGATGACAACATTGGATGTTTCTCCGAGTTGAAGGTGCATCAAGGGTCCGTACTTATTTGCAAGGTCTCTGAGACGGCGATGGGGGAGTGAGCCTACAAGTTGGTGGAGGTTTCCGATGAGAGGTAGCTTGGGGGGTCCTGGGGGTAAGGGTTTGGAGGATTTTCTGGAATTGGATAGCTTACGTATCAGAAGGAGGAAGAAGATGAAGCTGAAGATGATAGGGCATGAGATCTGAATCTCCATATGGTTATTACAGATGGTTAAGATGAAGATGCTAATTAACTGATCGAAGTGGGTTTATTGGATTGAAGTCAAGTTCTGTGTTTTTTATAGCAACCGTCGAGTTGATGATGATCTGTCGATATAGATACCTGGCACATTTGACTGGGTGATCCAAAAATATTTGTTTTTTTGGAATAGAATTCGGAGTTTTTATAGATATAGCATCTATGATTGAACCAAATCAAATAAATAATTCGATATTTATTTTATTTTATGTTATGATTAATTTATTATATTTGTTAATAATATACTGTTTTATATATTAATAAAAAATTATTTATAAAACTTTAAATTTTTAATAATAAATTCTTTACATTAATAATAATTTTTATATCAATATAAATTAACTATATTTTTAAATTTTTAAAAATTTAATTCATATTTTTTTAATATAAGATTTTTTTCCCATTCAGTAGAACAATTTATTCATAAATTCCTCCTTCGTTGAATATGAATCGATAAATTATTTGTAAATTCGTATGGCATCGTGAGAGGGGGCGTCCCAATGTCAATGCAAACAAGGACAATGTGGGGCCAGTGGCTCAGAATAATTTGCACTAAATTAAAGACAACGTACAAAAATTAAATTCCAGATGGTTATTTTTACCCGTCCGTTAAAAAAATATAAAATATTTTTAAAAAAATTAAATATTAAAAATATAAAATATTTTTAATTTTTAAGGTGTAATCATTATTTTTTAAAAAATATTTTTATTGATAATAACTTTATATTTATTATAGGGTGTTTAATAATAATAAATATAAAAAAATATAATTAATTTAAAAATAAGTAACTATTTTATTAAAAGGTGAAATTTAAATAAAAATATTTTATATTTTTAAATAAAAAAATATTATATTTAATTTATTTTTAAAGTGGTAATATGGGATTTTCTCTTATGAGGTGCTTGGGAGGGGAAAAAGTGAGGGAAAAGGAAAAGTGAAAGAGAAAAGTAAGAAAACAAATGATATTTTTTAAGCTTCGCTGAAAAGATAAAAATGATAAGGAGAAAAAATTAGAAGAAAAATTATATATGAAATTCATATTTTTGTATATTGAACTTCTCTTTTGAAATATAAAAATATTTAAAAAGAATGAAATTCACATTTTTGTATATCGAACTTCTCTTTTCAAATATAAAAATATTTTAAAAAGAAAATTTAATTTTCAAATTTAATCATGAATATGTTCGTTTTATGCTTATTGCCCCCCTCCATTTTTGTCTTAATTTTTTCACCACTTTAAAATTTATATAAATATATTATATTTAATAATTTAAGAAATAAAAAATTTAAATTTTTACAAAATAATTTTTAGCTAATATTGGATAAAAGAATTCATAATTATTTTTATTTGATAAATGATATATAATAAAAATTATATAAATAATATGTTAAAATATTTAATTTTATTACATAAAAATATTTTTCTACAAATAATAAAGATATTATTATCTATATAGAATTAACAATTTTTTCCTTCATCTCATTTTCTCTCGCTTAACCAAATACAAAGAGAAAAAATTACATCAATTCAGTTTTCTTTTCTCTCCTCATATTTTTTCTTCTCTCTATTTTGATTTCCTTATGAAGCCAAGTACAGTGAAAACAGAAAGTTACTTTGATAGAAAGAAGTAAGTTGAGGGATGTGGTGGACACAACACATTGATATTATTTTTTGATATTAAATCTCACCCTTTTATATGTGTTTATCTATTTTTAAAAGGTTTATTTGTTCTGGATTTTCAAGTCAAAGTTTTTCGATATGAAAAAAAATAAATAAATTTGGGTAGTGAAAGCACTGATAAAAATAAAAACAATTGCACGCCAATCTCTGGTCAAATTAATGGAAGTACGATATGAATCCTATGCATACCCCCGCATACTTTTCCATAGTCTCTAATCTCTAGTACCGCCACCATTGCCACCATATCAATCGTTATCATTATCATTACTTAGTAAAAATAAAAAAGAAACAAAATTATGATGGCTAGTCTTTTTTTGTTTTTTTTGGATAAAATTGTGATAGCTAGTCAAGAACGAAGTCTATGAAATCGTCCCACTTCAAGGAAAATATTATTTTAATGTTTTTTTTTTTTTACTTCAGTTATCACGAATTTCTTGCTGCTTTTCTTCCCGCTATCCACGTAATTCATGCGGCTGAGTTGCTGCAGTTTTTTTTTTTTAAATTACATCTACATCTCACAAAAAAAATTTATTATTAAGAGATTCATGATATTTACAAAGTACTTTTAAGTATTAAATTCTATACATTTATAACTTAATAAAGAGTATTTATAACTGAACAATATGCATTTATAACTTAAAAGTATTTTATGAGACTTTTTGATAGTAAATTTTTGTTAGGACCTAAGTATTTCAATTAGAAAGTATTACTAGTATTAATTACACTTTTAATTAAAAAATTTTAAAAAATATTATTATTAATGACATTTTGAAAAAATACCTTAAAAATTGGATAGACAAAAATGCCCCTCCAAAACCCTGCATCAATGGTTTATGGTTGCCAGTCATTGCAAAATGTCCACCGTCCGATCGTCGATGACTTGTTGATTCTAGTAGCCAATATAGACCTGGGCGCCTGGGTTAATTTATTTATTTGTTTATTTATTGGTCAATGTCATTTTCTTGAAGCAGAAACATTTTTATGCAATAATTTAAGAGATAATGAAAATTTTTAAATTTTCAAATTTTTTCGGTTATCAGATTTAGTCTTTAAATTTATTTTTTATTGATTTAGTCGCTTAAATTTATCTTAATTATAAATTTTATGATTAGTATTAAAAAATAGATAATATTATTAAAATTCATGTAACTTGATGAAAAGAAATATAATTATTTAGATAAAAACAGACTCAATTTTTTAAAATAAATAAAAGAACAAGGTGTAGCGTGAAGAATAATAGATTAATAAAAATTAAATTGATTTGAGAACTAATTTGTTCTCATTTAGCTATACATATATGTGTGTGTGTGTGTGTGAAGCAATGCTTTTAGAATCGAACTAGACGTTGAACCGAAAATGCTAACAAATCACGGCTTACATAGTCCAATTGATTGGACCCACAGCCGAACCAATGATGAAATAATTAAGTTGAAAATTATTATATATATAATAATATAAATATAAAATTGCTACATAATTTGAAAATAAAGCAAAATATTCTAAGTTAATTATGAGTTAATAAGCCTCATGATACAATATAACATCAAGTGAATTAATACCACTCACAACAAATATCCCCCATACTAATTTAAATTTTTTTAACTTAAATATTTATTTAGATTAAGGCATACAAAGAGAATGAAAATAATTTATCAAAAAAGTTTTCCCAAAAAAATGAAAACAGAAGGTATTAATTTGATATAAGATTAAAATTAGAACAAAGTGCACAAACCAAATTCTTTTTCACCTTCTCAAAGTGTTCAAATAGTGAGGGAGGTTTTTGTTAGGGTTAAAATTGGAAAAAAGTGAAAAAAATGTGCCATCTGATTTTCACAAAACAGCTCTAGTATATGGTTTTCTAACTGTTCATAGCTAACCACTGGTTTAGAGCGACCCAATCCAGTTCAAAAGCTAAAATGGTTTTGCAGTTCAAATAGAGTCAAAACAAGGACCAACTAATGATCCAACCAGTCAAACCATTCGGTTCGGTTTGGTTTTGAAATCATTGATGTTAAGTCATTAATATAATTTATACATTAGATTAACTTAAGACTCAATTTATGTTTTAGAACTTAAAAGACTATGAGGATGATAATTTATTTTAGCTTAACTTTTATAGTTGTATAATCTGTCTCAAGATGTGTTTTGTTCAACTTTAGTGATCAACGCATGAAATTAATACTCAATCATGTTTTGCAATTTTGGAACCAAGTAGTTCTCGGAGAAAAGATACTCAACGTATCACTGTATTACTTACTATAGGGGTTATATACTTGTTAAATTACAGGTGTAAACGTTTTAAACTATTGGAGGACAAACTGTAGTGACTCAATTGCAGGGTTACATATTACAAAGCTTCAACAAACCACAAGTTCATTCTCTTCTCTGAACATTGGACCATATCATTTGTTCTTTACCATCAGGAAAGTTCACAACAAACATGAACTAAACAAAAAAGGTGGAACAAGTAGCTCAAGCACTTTTATTTAGAGTAAAGGGATTACGAGGCAACGTGGGACATCATTGAGGCAATTATATAGAACTAGCGTTGATGACTAATTGGGATTAGCTGGAGATTCTCGGTTCTTCTCACACTTGCAGCAAATGTCTCAGACATGTCAAACTTTTCAGGAGTCATTCCATTTGGTAACTTCCAATCAAAATGATACAACAAATTAGCAAGTGGGAGCTCAATACTGGATATAGCAAAGTTAATTCCAGGACAGATTCTTCTTCCAGCACCAAATGGTATATAATCCATGTTTGCTCCTCTAAAATCAATTGGGTTATCCAAAAATCGCTCAGGCTTGAATGTCTCAGCTTCATCCCAATATTTAGGATCTCTTCCTATTGCCCATCCATTGACCATAATTCTGGTTTTTTTAGGTATCTCATATCCATTAATCACGCATCTCTCAGTGCTCTCCCTTGGAAGTAGCAAAACTCCAGGTGGGTGAAGCCTTAAGGTTTCTTTCACAATTGAGTTTAAGTATTTCAATTGGTGAATTTCACTTTCATCCACGAAGTCTTTTCCCTTGTAGAACATTCTGATCTCAACTTGAGCCTTCTCCATCACCTGTGGATTCTTCATCAATTCAGCCATTGCCCACTCTAGAGTAGTTGATGATGTCTCAGATCCAGCAATGAACATATCCTGAAAATAAGTTTTTAGGAGTACATATAGTATATGACGAATTACTGTCGGACGCTCACTTTGAGAAGCAATATTTTCTCTAGTGATTTTCTGCGACAGGTAGTTCGATTTTGTACAGGGCAAGTATATGAAGTTTCCATCACTTTGGTTCATAACTTTCAAAACCTATAAAGTTTTCAAAACCTAACTGTGTGTGTGTGTGTGTATGTGTGTGTGTGTGTGTGTGTGATCATATGACAAGATGTATCTTAACTTTCGGTTCAGTATGACTGATGACTTCCAACAATGGAAAAACTTTTAATTTGGTAATAAGAATCATAGTTTATTCTAATAATGATAATGAAATGGAGATCAGTCTTTTTCTTCTTGTTAATCCTTGGTGAATATAATAACTAGCCATGTCTAGCTGTTGCCCGTTGGAGACAAGTACTGATAAAAGTCCCATAAGGAAAAATGATCAAAAAAACAATGAATGACAGAGAAGCCATCTTCTCGTCACTGACTAAAAAGCATAAGCATCTTGGTGAAATGGATATGCCCAATCTCAAGCTCATAAAGTCAAAATGGTATTAGAGCAGCAACAATAAACAAAGAAACCTAAAAGGCCTTCCTCCAGCAAGATCTGGGACCTAATATAAGACTAATGCCTAAAAAAAATGTTTTGACCAGTAAGACTCAGAGAGAACATGAACAAGTCTCTGCATAGAATTGGGCTCGAATTCGAAAAAGATTAACACTGACCCCATTATTAAAATCTATATACTTATATATTATTCTAAACTCTTGTAAACGACTCATTTTAAAAACTCCATAAAAAACCAAAAAATCATACTAGTTAGGGGGGAAAAAATCATCAATCTAATACATAAACTTTTATATATGCAATCCTTACCAGAATGACGGCTTTGACGTGGTCGTGAGTTAAGCGAAATTCTTGATCATCTTTTCCCTCTTGAATCTTTAGAAGAACATCAACAAGATTCTCTTCATTATTCTCATCGCCACTGGCTTTTCTTTCTTTGTGACTCCTAATGATGTTTTCCAATACTTGATCATTCAATTTGTGAACCCTTTCAAGCCTAGCTTTCATTCCTGTAATCCTTTGAAGCACTTCGATAGAAGGAAAGAGATCAACAATTGAAAAACCTCCCACCATTTTCGTCACATCGTCCAGTGTAGATAAGAAAGCCTCTTGATCTCCATTTCCAGACTTCCTACCAAAAGCTGCTCTTGCAACTATAGAAGTTATGGTTGAGAAAATTTTCTCACTCAGATTTATGACTGACCCTGAAGCAGACAATACATCTTTGACAAGCACAGATACCTCCTCTTCCCTTATGAACCTGAAAGATCGAACACGCTTTGCTGTTAAAAGCTCTAAAGTACATATTTTTCGAAGGTTCCTCCAATGGCTTCCATGTGGGGAAAATCCAATGTCTATGTTATTGTAAGTGATGATCTGGGCAGCGAGAATATCAGGCCTATTGGACATGATAAGGTCATGGGTTTTGAAGATCTCTTTGGCTATTTCTGAGGAAGAGACAATAACATTGGATGTCTCTCCAAGCTGAAGGTGCATTAAGGGTCCATATTTGTCTGACAATTTTCTGAAGGCATGATGGGGTAGAGCTCCTACAATTTGATGGACGTTCCCAATAAGAGGTAACTTCCATGGCCCTGGGGGTAGGGGTAGGCTTTTTTGTGGTTTCTTCTCAGAATTGGATCGCTTGTATATCAGAAGAAGCAAGCAAAACAAGGTGATGTAGAGGACGATCTGAAAAATCTCCATGATTTACAGAGAAGAGAGATGTTAATATGTTTTCCGGGGTGGATGGATTTAGATATATATGAGTGCCGCGTAGAATCTGGATTAATATGACAGGATGCTTCTTTAATACATTGTTTAATCATATCTTCTTTTTTTTCAACTTAATGTGACGTACTAGTAAGTAATAATATTGTAGGTCAGCATTTGGAAATTCTGGCAATCAACAGTATATATTGTTTAGTTATTAATTGTAAAGGATGGTAAAATTAGAAAGTTACCTTTTTTTTTTTACAATTTCAAGGCTATAATATAACTAACATTGCTTACTAAACGTGAAGTTAATTAGTTACTTCTTCCTAATCACAGTATACTCCCTTCAGTCCAAAATAAATAGTTTTTAACAATAATCAACATATCAATAAAATTTTTATTTCCATAAAAATATGTTTTTTCACCCCTAGTTTCAATTTATGATGAGTGAAAAAAAGGTCAAAAATCTGTAGTCATAAGAATCTAAATTAATAAATACAAGGAGTAAAATAAGAATTTTTTTTACAAATACTAAGTTGTTTATATTTTAGACCAATATTAATTTAGAAAAAATGCTTATATTTTATATTTGAGAGAGATTGCCATTACTAACTAATTTACATTTATAAAAAATGTTGATTTTTTTTAAAAAATTCAAATCTTTCAAATCATACACCTTTGAGTGGAATAAATATATATTATTTAACTTATTCAAAAACACACTCATTAATTACTTAAGTGGAAGATAATAAATGAACAGTATGATTAAATATATATATATATATATATAAAACTTACCAATTATCTTATATTTTTACTAAGTAAGATTTTTAAAAAATGTTATGTATTGTAATTCAAAGAGAGTATGTGCTTGTTTGAATTTCAGTTGGATGTAATGAATTATAAAAATAATTAATTAAATAATAAATTTTAATTATAATTAATTATATTATAATGTAACTTGTTTGGATACTGTTTTTTTTAAAATTAAATTTAATAAAATTAAAGATGTTTGGATAATTTATTCAAAATCAATTTTAATTATATAAATTACCATGAAGGATATTTCATTTCAAAATTAAATTATTAATAAATTTATATCTAATATTATTAAAGTTGTTATATTTTATTTAAGAAGTAAAATATATTATTGATTTTATTTTTATTAAATTTTGAGCTTTTTTTTAATAATTTTTTCTTGAGTCTTTCTTTACAATTTTCCCCAACACTTTTTGATTGATTAGCCGCAAAAGCTCGACTTGCCAGCTTTTGAGAAAAATCGATTTTAACAAAAAAAAATCGATTAAATGGTTTTTCATGTGTTTGGATACCAATTTAGAAAAATGATTTTTTTGAGTAAAAAAATCGCTTATGAGCGTATCCAAACACACACAATATCAAGTACCAAAGAAGTATCTTTGATTATTGTTTAACAGATGAGCTTCAGTCAATCTTGTCGATCCATCTTGTGACTTGCACCAACGAAAAAGTCTCAAGTTGAAATCTTCAACAGCATGACCTCTCTATCGATCAGTTTTTTGGGTCAAGTCTGTTAACTTAAATCAAGTTTTCAGGAGTAGATTAATATTAAAATATAAACATAAAGTATATAACCTCCAGGAAGAAAAATACGCCCTCCGCAAAGCAACTTGTAAGTAAGATATAGTATTTGAAATCATGAGATCACTTTAAATCTGTTGGCTATGGTATGAATAAATCACTGACTAAGAATAATGCAGTCATACATAGTAATTTGTTGTTATGACCATTGGCATATACAGAACCATTATATTTTTTCAAGTCTACACTTAGCATGGTTTGAAAATTTGCTTCCTCTCAAGATATTATTGTTTTATACTCCAATCACGATAGACCATTATAGTCTATACACAACACTTGAAAGTTAAAACATCATTGCCTATGCATATATAATTGACCAAGAAATTTGTTACATGGAAGTTAGGCAACGTTTAACAAGAGTTGAATAATTAATTCTCGAACTTAGAGCAGTGGTGACTGGTGAGGACGGGGGAACAGTAGTTATCATGGTCCCATAACTTTATTTTTTTTAATAATAAGGACAATGAAACTTTTGGTTTCTTTAATTTTTTTAACTATCGATTTAGTTTCTCAAATTTAATTTTTATTAATTTAATTTTTTGAGTTTTTTTTAATTATCATGTAAATCTTTTAGGTTCTAAAACATAAATTCACTTTTAAATTAATATAATGTAAAAAGTATTTTTTATGATTTGATATTTATATGTAGCTAAGTGAAAAAAAAAATTAATCCTCAAATCATTTTAATTTTTATTAATTTAATTAATTTAATCCCTTATATTGCATTTTATTATTTTATTATTTAAAATTTCTGAGTTTTTTATTTAAATAATTATACTTTTCATTAATCTATATGGTTTTTATCAATATTTTATTATTAATGTGAGCAGATTTTAATAGTGTTGACTCTTATTTAAATTATAAGGATAAAATTAATAATTAAAATAAACTTAAGCGACCAAATTGATTAAAAATAAATTTGAGAGATCAAATTAATAATGGAGATAAATTTGAAGGACTAAAATTTTATTGTCTTTAATATTATATAGCAATTATATCTGTTTAGCCCTTTTAGACTTTATAGTATATAATATATGGATTTCAATTTTTACCCTCATCATAATCTTGTTAGTACAGTTCAATATGATTAAAGATTCATAATAAACCATAATTAAATTATGATTTATGGAGGTCTTAGTAGAAAATCCAATACTTCCTCTTTTTTCAAAACTAGTGAATTCGATTTCATTTCATTTTGTTTGAAGTCCTAGTTTTTTTAGTTACCCACCTATATCTTTTATTGAAGGCAGTTCCATACGAGAAACTATTAAATACTAAATGATGTCACTTCTCTTAGTGAGGATTCAAATTTTGATTCATCAAGTTATGAGGGACTAACTTATTTTGCTAGATCTAATCACTATTATTTAAAATCCTCATTTATATTTTGTCAATTTTTTTTTGGTAAAAAGGAGGGCCAGGCCTGATGTATTAAATAGTTAGGACAAAGAGGGGGATTGAAATCCCATACAATCATAAAGAACTAAGTCCTTCACAAAGGAAGGAGTAGTGCTAAAAAAAGAAGAAACAAGGAGAGCTTCTTTGGCAAGTCTATTAGCCACTCTATTTCTAGATCTAGAAATGTGATTAGACTTGACCATCCAATTGTTCTTCAACAACTTAGAGACCTCGAGCACAACTTGGTTGTGAGGAGAGAGTTCATCAGGTTTAAATTCCAAAATGTCAATTAAGGCCTTACAACCAGTTTCAAGAATAACACTCTTGTAGCCCATATCCCAAGCAAGATTAAGTCCTTTTAGGCAAGCCCAAGCATCAGCTTCAAGAGGAGAATATTAGCCCAGATAAAAGGAGAACAGCAATCCAAGAGCACAGATAATCTCTTAGAGCACCACCACATCCACTATTAGAGTCAACTTGAGAAACAGCACCGTCAACATTAATTTTAATCTAGCCACATGGAGGAGGGAGCCATAAAGAAGGCTCATTCTTCACATTTGAGGTGGAAAAATAGGTGGTAGAGAAGGATTTCCAAACAGCCATAAGATGGGACACAGGGTCATAAGGCTTATGAAAACTAGCATAAAAAATAAAATTATTTCTCCATTTCCAAAAATGCCAAACAGAAACACCTCAAAAAATCTCCTAATCAGAATCAATATGGAGTCCCACATTACAAGTCAAATTAGCATGAACCAATTCCTTGAGAGGATAAGAAAAAAAAGATTGTTTGATAATTATGGTAGACCGTTTACAATCAGAAGCAGTGAGCATACTTACAGTCCCTTAAAATATGGAGAATATTTTCTTCATCTGAGTTACACCAATTGCAGAGTAGCAAAGAAAGAGCCCAAGAGCTACACCACAGATTTGTCGGTAGCCGATTGTGGAAGATCATCCATAGAAAAAGGCGAATTCTTTCCACTCCTCTCCACTTCCAGATTAGTTTAAAAGTGGGAGAATATAAATTTGGAGGGATCTTTTCTATAAGGAAATACACACTTTTGAGAGTAAAATGCCATTAGAAAAGGCATTCCAGGACATGATGTCATTACCAGCTCTTTGGGAAGGTGGAATGACAGCAATTATTTTGAGGATTATGTTACTGGGAAGAACATTTGCTAAATTAACAAAATCCCAAGAACCATAAGCCACTCAATCAGCAACTTTGCTTTCTTCTTCCCTAAGAGATAAGGGCCTTGTACATAGATCTTTCAATTTTGTCCCAGGGATAAGCCAGAAATCATCAAAGAAGGAAACATTTTCTCCATTGTGAATTTGCCATTTAGTGCCTTCTTTAATTAAATCACTTTGTTGGCAAATGAAGTACTAAAGTTGAGAGTCTCCTTTTTTAGCTTTTAAAAGATCACTATCATTTTAAAGCATGTACTTGTGTAGAAGGATGTCTGCCCATAATCCTTTCACCCCAGAGATTAGCTTCTATGCCAATTTAACACCATAAGCTATGTTTATAGAGAAGAGTTTTTTGAAACCAAGACCACCATAGTCCTTAGGAAGAGAGACACTATGCCAATTTAGAGGATGAAAACTGTGTCCATAAGAGCCTCCCTAAATGAAGTTCCTCTATATTTTTTCAATTTCATTACAAATGGTGACAGATATTTTAGAGACTTGCATTGGATACAGGAGAGTAGAGCTCAACATAGATTTTGCTAAAGTGATTCGTCCAGCAGTAGAGAGACAATTAGCTTTCCAATTTTCCAACTTACTCTTCACTATCTCTAAGATATACTGAAAACGTTATCTGGGCTTTGATCGGGTAGCAATAGGAAACCCCAAATAGTGGCTTATATCAGCAGAAATATGCATCCCAGTGACAGATTTAATTTTCCCTTTAATTATAGCCGGTACATTCTTGGAGAAGAAAAGAGATGACTTAAAGAAGTTGATTTTCTCGCCTGAGGCATAATAAAATTTTTGTAAGTAATTTATCATAG